AAACAGTCAATGAAGACGAAGAAGAGAATGATGTGTGCTCCCGGCGCCTATTTATACTATAGTCGCACCGGTAGTGACGTGACGGCTGTCGCCGGCCAACGAGTTGGTGTTTTTTCAATGTATGCTTCAGACACGGGTCACGACGAGGCGTTCCCCATAGCGACCCGCAGAGGACACAGTTCGAAGTTCCCATGAAAGGGAACTACTGAAATCAGTGAGTCTCCTGTGAGTTAGATTGCGTGCAGAGTTGCTGTCTATGTGTGTTCCAGATCAGTCACATACGAGGTTACATGGCGGGCGGTTCACTAGGTTTTGGAACAGACCAGATCAGCAAGGTATCAAAATTTTGTCTGTATTCAGCTTTCTTCATTTTTTTATATTTGCACTCAGATTTCAGACTTGACATTATTTGAAAAAGATTTGTGGGCCATTAGAGGATGACTGTTATCTTGGCATACCTTCTCTTCCTTAAATTTTTGTGTGTCTGTGTTTGTCAGACGGCAATTTCAGAAACGAAATTAAAGAAGGTTAACGTTTTTAAACCGTTTAAGTGACATACTGTTTGACTTCACAAACATCAAGAACTTTTTAAGGTCGATTAGAGTGATGCAATTCTAGATTTAACCAGCTCCTTGGCAAGAAACAATCTAGCAGGGAATATTGAGGAAGTGAGTGCCCAGAACTGCTCTATTAACAATTCTTGATAGTTTATTAGAAGTTAAATAGGAGTCCTGCTGCGTAGCTTTGTCTGATCCAATCTTAACCAGTTTGTCATGCCAGTACTGAAATGAATTTTAATATTGTCATGCTTGGTTTCATATTAAGATAACATATTTTCTTCATAGCATTAAAGTGCCCCTATTATGGGTAATGAAAGGTTCATATTTTGGTTTTGGCAGTCCCCATCAACAGGTTGACATGCATGCAAGGTCAAAAAACACTTTCATTGTCTTATAATATGCATTTGTTTTTACCTTATGCCGAGTTCACACTGCACGATTTTAGCCCGATTTTTCACTCTCCGACAGGTTTTGAGAAATCGCCAACAAATGCCCGAAATCGGAGGCAAATCGGTGCTCGTTCACGCGAGTGACAATCACGCAGTGTGAATTATCAAAGACGCGATCTGAGGGAATCGCCGACACGTCACCGACGCCAGACTATAACTTTATACACGGTGCACTTTCAGATTTGACATTTTGCAGGATGTTTTCATTCACTTAGAGCTGTATTAGACACTGCATGAAAGGTCATTTTCAAAAATCCATAATAGGGGCACTTTAATGATTCGTAATGTTTCATACATTATGTATCAGACCTATTATTCTTCAGTCTGCCTCACCTCACAAGCCTGAAACAGTGTGGACAGCGAGGGGCACATAATAAACTCTCACTCAATTTGATTATTATTGCTCTTTAAGAGCTTTATTCAAATTCACGCCCAGCGCTTGAGTTCTTCTAGTACATATGTACAACACTTTCAGGATCAGTTGTGATATGCTGCCCTCATTTGTTGATTTACTGGAGGCACAATGTGATGTGTCTACAAGCAGGGACACTAAAGAGTCCAGGCATTATGAAAAAAGGTACAAAAGTTTTACTCAGTATTGTGATAATCTGCAAATTATACTCTCTAAAACAAATTGTAACTCAGTATGTCTTTTGGCACACAAGTTGCACAAGCAGAGTCTAATCCACTGCATTGAATTCATAAGGTAACATTTTTTCTTTTTCACTTTGCAGGATGACTTCAGTCTCTGGGGTTGAGTAACAGGGCGGGTTTGCATTCATGTCCCCACATATTAGCTTCAGTTGCTCTTGGAGAACACTGACTGAATCTTGGGTCGATCTCAGGTCAGAGATTAAATAAAACCTCAAAAATGAGATGGAGACAGAATTAGGTATTTTATTTAAAACTCCAAGGCATATTTTACTGACATTATGAAACATATTTGCTGTAAGTGCATTTGTCTGTGGGGACTATACTGTCAAATGTTTGACTGTTAAATAATTCTCAGAATTATTATGTCAAACATTTTAAAAACTCCCATTTGAAACATTACAGTCTCTCTTTTAAAGACATGAAGACATGTCTGATTCATATTTCATATTTTGGATGGTAATTATTTCTATCCTTGCTATCAGTCCAGCACGTTTTCTTGCAAACAAAGAAACAAACAAAACCCTAATACAGCAATGAAAATTATTGTAATTAAAATCAGCAAAAATGAAATCAAATACATAAAATTTATACAGCGAATACTACTATGATGTACCCTACAATAATTTTATTTTTTTCATTTAATACGTTTTTTTCAGTTATATGAAGGACATTTTATTTGGTTTTAGAAACAAGATATGAGAAAGATAAAATTTGGGTTCATCGAATTTAATCTTCTATTAGATTTTAAAAGTTTTTTAAATGACATGTCTGCCTAAAATGACAATTAAAATTCAGTTTTGCAAGAAAAAAAAGCATCATACTATAAAGGATAATATGGAGTCAGTAAAATAAAATAGCTGTCAGTTAAATAAAATAATAACATTTTATGTTTTCCTTTAGACAGTGTTCAGAAAGTAGAATGAAACAGTAATATTTTTAATAGAATTTTGTGTTAAAAAATATGAAGTACATTCAATGTCTTAAGTTTGACGTTCCTATTTTGTAACATCTTTTTTTCCTCCTGCTCTAATGGACATAACTGTCCTCAACAATATTCATGAAAACCGGATTTTTATTTATACACATTTATGTGGCAGGAAACAATAACATTCTTGATGAACTAGAGGTTTGTTACTGAATTAACACAAACACCTAGACACTGTGATTCATCAGTGATCGTTTATAAGAAGCTTCAGTTTAGATACTGAAGTGTTTAAATCAAGGCAGCAACACAAATATCATACATATTACTTATTTTTTACAATTTTATGGATTTATTTATGCTCTGCATTATTTTGTAGACGTGTTTGATTTTAGCACATGGATCTACAGATTTGGTGTAAATAAGGTTTATATCCAGTGTTAACAGTTATAAACAACCATTAATGTGAAAAGTGGAGGTTGGGTGGGTGCACTCAAACTATAGGGATGATGTATATTGTAGGCCACAAGCTAACACAAGCTCAATACATTTTAAAGTTTTATTCTACCACATAAAATACTTCAGTCAAACCCCCTTGTGTGTGTGTGTGTGTGTGTGTGTGTGTTTTAAAGCTTTCCTTGTCTTGAAAAAGGCAGTTACTAACAAGTGGCTTGGCTAAATGGGACTAGATGTTGTCAGCGACGATAGACTTCATCACACCAAACAGGAAAACTCATCTACTCACTAGTCCACTTTCACAACCTCATTGATTAATAATTTACAGTAAGTCTGTGATGGGGTTAGAAAATAAATAGGGTTAAGTTTCATGTCAAGCTGACTTTTAGGCTGTTTACTTGTGTTCAGTCCATAAGCGCTTACATGAAGTGTGGTAGCAACATGACTTTGTTGATTCAGTTGGGCCGGTTTGACTCTGGTCCATGGGTATACTGGCGAGGGTGTCTGCACAAAAACAGCCGCTATTCATCATCGGTACCACCTCCACTGCTGACCCACTTCTCTGTGGTTACAAAACCCCTTCTGAAGTGGACGTCTCTCTCGGTCATAAGACAACAACAGCTCACTGTTTGAACAAATCTACTCAATGAACATCACTGTGGTGTAGACAGGAGACAAGCATGTCGATCTGGGTAGAGTCTCACATGACAAGGTCAAAATGACAACATGGTCTCGGTGGAAAGTTCCTCAAATTTGTAGTGCTTTGGGTTAATTTTCTCACTGATTCATGCGGAGTTTGTTCATTCAGCTGTGTTTTCTTAGCTGTTCCTGAGTGAGGCAGCTCTCCTTCATGGTTGATGGGCGACTACCA